GACAACACCCCACGAAACTACCACACAGAAATACATAAGTTTTTCATTCTGTAGCTACCAAAAAAAATGGGTTGCCAGAGAGCAGGACAGAAAACCAGGGGACTGGAGGATGAGTCTGGGAAGGAAGATTGGGTAGCAGAGCTCATGAAAAGGGAACAAGAGTGGGGTAGGAAGCTAGAAAAGCTTAGCATGAAAATGGAGGAGAGGATAGCTGCAGAGAGCAGGAAGTGGGAGATGCAAGTCACAGCAGAAGAGGCTAAGATACAGAGATTAGAAGAGGAACTGAAAAATCTGAAACAGCCTAAAGAACTAAAGAGCAATTTGGGCATGACATCAAAAACTGCTACCTCAGTCACAAACAAGGGGACCATAGGGAACAAAGGAGTGAAACTGTATGCAGAGGCCCTATCAGACCATCATGGAGCCTGAGAAAAAAAAGTGGATCACATCAGGAAGAATTGAGGGGACTGTATAAAATGTAACTGCTAAGCTATATGTAGAGGCCCTAACAGACCACAGCAGTGCCCAGGGAAAGCTGAAAAGGAAAAATGACAGACCACTGGGCCCAGGAACAGCAGAGAGTGAAGAGATTGAGGAAAGGAAAGCTGCAATTGAGGCAATTAAGTCGAATCAAGGGATACAGGGCGGTGGGTGACCCTCCTAACTCTTTCGACCCAAAAACGAAAAACAGGAAAATGAAAGCAGTCGACGTTAATCGAATTTGAGGGAGTCTTAGGTCGGGTCGGACCGCAGCAGTGGATCAGTTCTCTTCACTATTTATGTCTCCAAAGGACTCTCCGCACTCCCCGTCCGCAATGGCGAACCAACAATACTGCCTCAAGTGGAACAACCACCAGTCAAACCTTTTGCAAGCCTTTGATCGCTTACTGCAGTCGGAATCTTTCACAGATGTTACCTTAGCCTGTGAAGGCAAGTCACTTAGGGCACACAAGGTTAGTGAACACAGCTTTAAGTGTCTAATGAGGATAAAATCATTTGTTTTATTGCTTATCAGCAGGGGAGAGAATTTTCTAATGATTTCTATGAATTTCAGTACATATTTTAACTTTTAGATTCCCATAAATTTAAAGAGAAAAATTGGAGGTATACATTAAAATTTTAGTGCAGTTTCGGTAAGTTCTGTGGAAATTTCCCAGATAGCTTAGATAATCTCAATTTAGGTTTTTTAAATAAATCAATCAGTGTCCTTGAAAGCATGTGCTTCATCTGATTAAAAATCACATTGTTTAGCTTAAACAAATAGTGGTCTGTATAATTTAGGAAGGGTAGGGGATGTTTAGACCAAGTGTTTACATTGAAAACATTCAGCATAGAATACTAAATTATTACATAGCATTAGAAATCTTCCTTATGAAGAAAGATTGAAGACTCTTAAATTACGTTCACTTGTTAGACGAAGAATGAGGGGAGACATGATGAAGTGTATAAGTGGAAGATGGGTATTAATAAAGGGGATATTAATGAGGTCTTGAGGATATCTCTTCAAGAGAGAACCCGCAGTAATGGATTTAAATTAGACAAGTTTAGATTTAGAAAGGACATAGGAAAGTATTGGTTTGGAAATAGGGTAGTTGATGAGTGGAACAGTCTACCTAGTTGGGTTATTGAGGCTAGGACTTTGGGTAGTTTCAAATTTAGGTTGGATAAATATATGAGTGAGAGGGGTTGGATTTGAGTGGGACTTGCAAATGAGTGGATAGAGTTATCAGATCTTATTTCTTGGGTAGCATTGAAAATTAGGTTGGGCAAATGTTTTGTTAGTGGGATGGATTGTAAAGGACCTGCCTAGTATGGGCCAAAGCCTGCTACAGTGATCCTCCTTTCTTATATGCAGTGGGAAAATGAAAGGGAGATATCAGTCTTTGTTTATGGACTCACAGAAACGAAACTCACCAGAATGATAACAGATGAAATCTTTCCACTTGACTATAAAATCCTCAGAAAAGATAGTGGGAGCAGAGGGGAGGAGGAGTTGCACTGGTCATTAAAAGCTGGTAGGGATTTGAGGAAATGGATGGAATGGGCAAAAGGGACTACATTATAGGAACAATCCAGTCTGAGGGCCATAAATTGACAATTGCAGTAATGCACAACCCACCACAGAACTGCAGGAGGCCAAGAGAAGAATATGCTGAGAGCAGCAAAACAATGGTAGACACATTACCCGAGGTGGCTAGAAGAGCTCACATGGGGAGAGCATAGTTACTAGTTATGGGTGATTTCAAGGAGATTGACTGGGAAAACCTGGAGCCCCATGGGGTCCCGAAACATGGAGAGCCAAGATGATAGATGTGGTACTGGAAAACCTCATGCATCAGTATGTTAGAGACACTACCAGAGAGAGAGGTGAGGATGATCCAGCAAGACTGGACCTAGTATTCACCGCAAGTAGTTCGGACATCGAGGATATCACATACGAAAAGCCCCTTGGAGCTAGTGATCATGTGGTTCTGCACTTAGATTACATAGTTGAGCTACAAGTGGAGAGGGTAGCAGGAATAGGATGGGAAAAACCAAACTACAAAAGGGAGGACTACACAGGCATGAGCAACTTCCTGCAAGACGTTCAGTGGAAGAGAGAATTGGCAGGAAAACCAGTAACAGAAATTATGGACTATGTGACAACAAAATGCAAGGAGGCAGAGGAGAGGTTTTTTCCCAAAGGAAACAGAAATAATGGGAAGACCAGAATGAGTCCTTGATTCATCCAAAGGTGTAGGGAAGTGAAAACTAAGTGTGCTAGAGCATGGAAAAGGTTCAGAAGACAAAGGATCCAAGAAATTAAAGAGATTAGCTGAAGAGCCAGAAGGAATATGCACAGATAAGAAGGGAGGCACAGTGACAGTACGAAAATGACATAGCATTGAAAGTCAAGTCTGACCCCAAGCTGTTATATAACCACATCAGGAGGAAATCAACAGTCAAGGACCAGGTAATGAGGCTGAGGAAGGAAGGTGGGGAGTTCACAAGAAAGAACCGAGAGGTATGTGAGGAGCTCAACATGAGATTTAAAGAAGTACAGTATTTACAGTGGAGACAGGAAGGACTCCAGGAATTCAGAATAGGAAGGTACACCAACAAGTGCTGAATGAAATACACACAACCGAGGAGGAGATGAAGAAGCTGCTATGTGAACTTGATACCTCAAAGGCGGTGAGACCAGACAACATCTCTCCGTGGGTCCTTGGAGAGGGAGCAGAGATGCTGTGTGTGCCATTAACAAAAATCTTCAACACATCTATTGAAACTGGGCAACTACCTGAGGTTTGGAAGATGGCAAATGTAGTCCCAATTTTTAAGAAAGGAGACAGACACGAGGCATTAAACAACAGACCTGTGTCACTGACGTGTATAGTATGCAAAGTCATGGAGATCATCAGGAGAGCGGTAGAGCACCTAGAAAGACACAAGCTTTTAAACGACAACCAGCACGGTTTCAGGGTAGGAAAATCCTGTGTCATAAACCTACTGGAGTTTTATGACAAGGTAACAGAAGTAAGACACAAGAGAGAGGGGTAGATAGACTGCATTTTCTTGGACTGCAAGAAGGCCTTTGACACAGTTCCTCACAAGAGGTTAATACAAAAGCTAGAGGATCAGGCATGCATAACAGGAAAGGCACTGCAGTGGATCAGAGAATATTTGTCAGGGAGGCAACAACGAGTCATGGTACGTGACGAGGTGTCAGAGTGGGCACCTGTGATGAGCAGGGTTCCACAGGGGTCAGTCCTAGGACCTGTGCTGTTTTTGGTATATGGAAATGACATAATGGAAGGGATAGACTCAGAAGTGTCCTTGTTTGCAGATGATGTGAAGTTAATGAGGAGAATTAAATTGGTTGAAGATTAGGCAGGACTACAAAGAGACCTGGACAGGCTACAAGCCTGGTCCAGCAGCTGGCTCCTTGAATTTAACCCCGCCAAATGCAAAGTCATGAAGATCGGGGAAGGGCAAAGAAGACCGCAGACAGAGTATAGTCTAGGTGGCCAAAGACTGCAAACTTCACGCAAGAAAAAATATCTTGGGGTGAGTATAATACCGAGCACATCTCCTGAGGTGCACATCAATCAGATAACTGGCGGCAGCATACGGGCATCTGGCAAACCTGAGATTAGCATTCCGATACCTCAGTAAGGAATCGTTCAAGACTTTGTACACTGTGTACGTCAGGCTGATACTAGAGTATGCAGCACCAATTTGGAACCCACACTTGGTCAAGCATGTCAGGAAATTAGAGAAAGTGCAAAGGTTTCCAGCAAGACTAGCTCCAGAGCAAAGGGGATTGTCCTCTGAAGAAAGGATAAGGGAAATCAGCCTGATGACACTGGAGACCAGGAGGGTTAGGGGAGACATGATAACGACATACAAAATACTGCAAGGAATTGATAAATTGGAGAGAGACAGAATGTTACAGAGACGGGACACAGAAACAAGGGGTCACAATTGAAAGTCAAAGACTCAGATGAGTCAAAGAGATGTTAGGAAGTACAGTGGACCCCCGGTTAACGAACTTTTTTCATTCCAGTAGTATGTTCAGGTGCCAGTACTGACCGAATTTTTTCCCATAAGGAATATTGTGAAGTAGATTAGTCCATTTCAGACCCCCAAACATACACGTACAAACGCACTTACATAAATACACTTACATAATTGGTCGCATTTGGAGGTGATCGTTAAGCGGGGGTCCACTGTATTTCTTTAGTCATAGAGTTGTCAGGAAGTGGAGTAGTCTGGCAAGTGATGTAGTGGAGGCAGGAACCATACATAGTTTTAAGACGAGGCTTGATAAAGCTCATGGAGCAGGGAGAGAGAGATGACCTAGTAGCTATCAGTGAAGAGGCAGGGCCAGGAGTTATAACTCGATCCCTGCTACCACAAATAGGTGAGTATGTATATTCTCATCTTAAAACATTCGTGCTCGTTATCTAGAATTTCTTACATTAATGATTGATTTCTTGGCTAAATAATACCTAGTTTCTATTTTTCAGATCCCTTGACCAAGATCCGACCTCCTTCACCCCATGGCGACCTCAGAACTCCTCTCTCACCATACACCTGCCCTCGAACACCTGCCAATTCGGTAGAAATTGAAAAAACCTTGGATCGTGAATGCCTTGAAAAATTTTTGAAAATTAGTGTCCGGCACATCACAGATGGACAAGTGAGTACATTAGAGAAATTAAAATACTTTGAGGTCCATGGTTCAGTCTCTGGCACGGGTGGAAACATTAGGATGTTTTCCTTAAGACACCTGCTGTCCATATTCACCTATCAGTAAGTCCCTGGGTGTTAGTCATCCTACACCTGCTCTCCATGTTTGCCTATCAGTAAAATAGGTACCTGGATGTTAGTCAACTGGTGTGGGTCGCATCCCGGGGATAAAATTAATCTAATTCGCTTGATATGCTTTGCATAACAAGCGGTTTTCTTTATAGTATGTCACTGATGTCAGCTATGGTCTGTATACCTTGTACATGTAGGAATATAGATTATTATTATTATTATTATTATTATTATTATTATTATTATTATTATTATTATTATTATTTCTCATATGGAGAAACTTCCATTGGTATTTAGAACCCTTGTCCACATTTATATTTTTTTGAGGATAGATTATTTCTATGTAAAACTGCTTTATTATTATTATTATTATTATTATTATTATTATTATTATTATTATTATTATATATTATTATTATTATTATTATTATTATTATTATTATTATTATTATTATTATTATTATTTATTATTATTATTATTATTCCAGCTCTTGGCACAAGAACAGTTCTTGAACATGAATCTGAATGTAGGGAATTGAAGCTACGCTTCCCTTCTATTACAAAAACACTAGCTGGCCTGATACTAGTGTCGTAATATGAGAGTTCGGGATACTGAATAAACACTAAAATAATTTATCATCTTTACTATAATATTATTTTATATAAAAACAATCTTTGGTCTAGAGGTATTCTACAATAATAATTAATATTTAATATAATAATAACTGATAAAAACCTATTATCTTTGGTACATATATATACATGCTACAATAATAAATTATAATTAACATCTTTGTACAGATATATATTTTTTTTTATAAATCCTAAAATAATATATTATAATCAACTCGTCATGACCCTACCACACAGGGTACAATGTTCCTGACACTACTGAGTCACACTCACTCATACAACACTAGTTCCACGGAGTTATACTACACTCCCTTCTCTCAGTATTATAACACTTTCTCTACCGTGTCACACAACACCCTTGTCTGTGTTATGACGCTCCTCTCCGTGTCACACGACACCCTTGTCTGTGTTATGACACTCCTTCTCCCCGTGTCACACACACCCTTGTCTGTGTTATGACGCTCCTTCTCTCCATGTCACACGACACTCCTTCTCTACCGTGTCACACGACACCCTTTTCTCTGCGTCACACACACCATCTCTATTGTGTCCACATGACACCCTCATCTCTGCATCACACACACTATCTCTACTGTGTCCACATGACACTCTTGTCTCTGTTATAACACTCTTTCTTGGCTGTGTCACCCACATAGCGTCTTTCTCCTCAGAGGACAGCCAAACAATACACGCCGGTAGATCAGCTGGAGGCCAGCAAAGTTCACCAAGGCCATCGAGGTCAAAGCCCGCAAAATTGGCCAGTAAAACCAGAGGCCCACAGGTAACCAAGTCTTGAGGCCCACAATAACTGAAGCCAGCTGACTAAGCAAGGCCCGCAGGTAACTGAAGTCTGCAGGGATCTGAATGACTAGTAAAACTGCAGCCAGGAGGCTCGCAGTTGACTAAAGTCAGCAGTGAGTCAGTGGACATCACCTTCAAATGTACTCCATGAGGTAGTCTGGTGAATACTCTCTATAAGGCCAATAGATGTATACCATAAGGTGGTCTGGTGAATACTCTCTACTACCAGTAGATATATACCGTAAGGTGGTCTGGTTAATACTACCTGTAAGGCTGGCTCAGCAGTCCCCACATTGGATTTGATGAAGTACCCGTGGTACTGCAGGCCGGCAGGTTAACAACCTTTTGATATACCTTTACCTTTGAAGAATTTCGAGAGTATATCTACTCTCTGAGCCCGGCCATGGGCCAGGCTCGTCTGGTGCTCGCCTGGTCAACCAGGCTGTTGCTGCTGGAGGCCCGCTACCCCACATATCCATCACAGCCTGGTTGATCTGGCACCTGGTGAAGATACTTATCTAGTTTCCTCTTGAAGGCTTCAACACTTGTTCCAGCAGTGTTTTCTGATATCTTCTGGTAAGATGTTGTAAAGTCTGGACCCCAGATGTTTATAAGTGTTCCCTTATTGTCCCCACCACACCCCTGCTCCTCTCTGGGTTTATTTTACACTTCCTCCCATATCTCTCACTCCAGTATGTTGTTATGGCAGTGTGCAGATTTGGGACCAAGCCTCTGGGTACCTTCCAGGTATATATTATCATGTACCTCTCTCTCCTCCACCCAATAAATTTAATGTTCAAGACTTGCAGGCTTTCCCAGTATTTTTAGGGCTTTACTGGCTAAATTTTAGCCGAAAAACTTTTTCTTGATTTTTTTCTAGCTCCGATATTTTTTTCCCCCCCTGAACGGGGCTGTCAGCACGGAGCAATATTCTAAGGGGAGGGAGCCTACGTTTTGGAAAAGTGCCCAACCTCGGCATTTTTTCCCCTTGTTTTGAAAGTTCCCCAATCCCCACCCCGTAAATTTTCCTTTGGCTGTGGATCTTTATCTTGTTCTTTCTTTCAACACCCCAAAGCCGTATCCCCCCCAAGGCAGGGTGGCCCAAAAAAAAAAAACAAAGTTTCTTTTAAAATTTTAGTAATTTAAAACGGGAAAAGGGGGGCTAAAACCCTTGCCCCCGGCATTTTAGTCCCCTTTTTACAACTGCAGGGTTTAGGGGAGGAAGAATTCTGTTCCATTTCCCCCAAGGAATAAGAGGAAAAAAACCAAACAAGAATAAAAAGGGAAAATAAAAGAATACCAAGGGGGTGTTATATATATGCTTGTACATGTTTGTGTAGGGGAACCAAAAGGAAAGTGGAAGTAGCAAGACTCCTAAAATTTCATGCGGGTTTATGAGACAGAAAAAAAGAAAACCAACCAGCCCCCAACCATCATGTAAAAAAAATTTACAGGTTTTTCATTGACACCACTTGTCAGGACAGTGGGACCTCCCGGGGCCCGGTTGCTGTTTCCCCAACCTACTACCTACCTGTCTTGTTATGGTTTTTAAACCCCCTTAAAGGGTCCAAGGCCAAAATCTGAAGGGGTTTTGTTCCAGTGCCAAAGAAATTTTGAAAAAAAAAAAAAAAAAAAATATTTTACAAAATTTAAAGCCCCCATATTTTTGTGAAGGTAAAGGGAAAAAAAAAAATTTTTCTGATCAGTACTTAGAAAAACAGTCCCAAGAAGTTTTCCAAAAAATTTTGTTGTGGGGGGCAACATCAAAGGGTTCCACATAGGGATCCTTATTTTATTTAGCGGTTTTTTATTTTTTTTTCTTTTTTTTTTTTCCAATTTTTTTTTTTCCTACCTAACATTTGGGACCTAAAGAGCCCAAATTTACTGTATATAATGTATATATATAAACTCACTGAAATTGAACACAAAAAACCGCACTAAAGTTATTATCATTTTTTTGTTTCCCACGTTGTTTATTAAAATTAAACATGCAAAAACTTGTTTTAATACTAATGTTCTATCATATATTTAAATTTTTACAACCACTGGACAGGTTTTGAACCTGCTGGAGTGTGTGGAACTCCTTGAAAAAAGGGCACCATACACGAGGCACCTTAAAACCCCCAACACAAAAACCCCAAAGGGTCTTTGTGTCTTTTGCCGTCTTTTTGTTTGTCACAAAGATGCATCTCTTCTGGAAAAATTTTTCTTCTGAGTTGAAGGAAGCGTATTATAAAAAATGATCCCCTTTCCCCCTAAAAAACCGTTGGGGTAAAACCTGAAATTTCCCGGGGAAACCTTTGTTTTATAGACCGTGTTTCTTACCGGGGTATTTCATTTTTGAGTTGTTTTTTGACAACAAAAAAACAAAATTCACCAAAACGGTGGTCTTTGCCAGCTTTATTTGGTACAAAATTAAAATGCATTGAGCATTGAAGTTCCATGAGAGGGAAAAAATTTTCATGAAACCCATTTGCCCCCTTTTTACAAACCCAAAATTCAACAAAACCAATCTGCATGCACATTTGTCAACCAAGGGGCATGTTTTGTGTAAATCAATTTTTTCACGGGTTTTCCCCAAAATACGTTCATTAGTACTCGATCAACTTTGCCACGTCTTGCATTCTTATTTTGGAATAAATTTGCCCAAAAATTTGGACTTCTCGTTTTCTTGCCCCCAAATAATGCCATGATGTCTTTGGGCATTTGAACACCTGCCGTCATCACCACGAGCCCCTGGGGTTGAGCCGGGGGCATATGTTTAGATTAGAACCCCCTGTGCCAAAACCATCTGTCTTGTTCACCCCGCATAAAAATCACTGGTAAGGGGTTTTGTGTAACCATTTATCGGTTTATAATGTTTGCCCCTTTCCAATAAGGTGCCACTTTGTTTCTCACTCCCAGGCCACGGGCACAGCCCACAGAGTACAAACATTTTTTATCCCCCAAAGCTTTTTCCTTTTGGGCTCGGTAATACTCTTAAATTTGACAGTCTCCTTTTGAACAATTTTAAAAAGACTCGCCCAATTACAAGATTCTTGAATGGAAAAAAGGGTATTTACTGAACTTTTGTTGGGGGGTACATAAAAACATTTTTAATTTTTGTTAACCTTTTCATTCTGTCAGGCCCGGGTTTTGTCAGAGAAGTGCAAAAATTAGTAACATTTAAAATAATCCTGTTCACTTTGGGGTTTTTTTTACTGAAGACCCCGGGTAGAAAAATTTTTCCCACTGGGGGACCAGTATGCTTTTATATTATGCTTTTGACTGAGGCATAAGCATTATTGTTTGGGAAAAAGCAAATACATTTCGCAACAGTTTGTTTCCCTTTCCACCGGTGGGGGGGAAGGGCTTGACTGTGGTGAAAAAGACGTTTTTTGCCAGGGGGGTACTCAAAAAAAATTATTTCTTTTTTGACAAATTTGTTTTTCCTTTAATTGGGTG